TTAACATTATTACTGTGGGTTCTTTTTGTTTTGTTTTTGGTTGGTTGGTTGTTTTTTTAGGGGGCRGGGATGTTATGTTCCAAATAGATTGTCTGCCCTCCTTGTATGAGTTTTAGTTAAGAAAAACACTCCCTTTTTGATGAGTCATTGTTGTGACTGTKGGACTTTGGTTAATATGACTGGAAGCACTCCCTCATTGTTTTTCAGCTTTTTCTTTCAGGAAAACACATCTGTTCAGTTATAATAAATCTTTTTATCCTTACTCCATTTTTTAAACCCTTTTTGACTTGTCCCTTTATCTGGAAATACTGAACGTTGCAGGTCTTTGCTCTGTTTAAATCAGAGCTGTAAAACTCATGTTAACCAAGGAGCTACATGTTTTRTGGTGGCCCACAAAGGTAAATGTATCGTGTGTAACTTCAAATAAACAGGAGACATCATCATCTCATTGCCACAGCTGAGCACCACTACCAAAGAATAACTTAGCTCTACCTGGTATTTCCTGTATAGAAACAGCGTGTGTGTGTGTGTGTGTATTTTTTGTTTTTGTTTTGTTTTTCATATTTATTTTGAGTTTTCAAATTACTGCATTTATCCACTCATACATAACAATACAAACAAAAAAACAAGAACAAAAACCACAGAAACAAAACAAACAAACAAAAAACCTGGGCATTTATATCAATTTCAAATACTGGTGCATCTTTTACCAAGTTTTTAAATAAAATAGTGCAAGGAAGGTGGCGAATAGTACAATTATATGTCCATTATCAGGAGAGATTGTAGTCCTGTTGAGCAAGTAGATCTAAAAAATGGCTGCCAGATTTTTAAAAAGACTTGGGTTTGTCCAACATATCGTATCTGAGTCTCTTCATGTGTTATACACCAGATAATTCTGAAAGCCACTTGAAATGTAGTTTAACACAGCATTAAAATTAATCTTTTAGCAATTATCACACCAAAGTTGAAAATACRTTGTACTGAGGGACTACATTTAACAAGAAATGACGCGTATCCAAATAAAGCAATATTATAATCTGGCTTAAATTYGTGCCCATAAAATTTGGAAAACCACATAAATATATTACACCAAAAACTATGCAATTTTGGACATGTCCAAAAAAGATGGGCAAGAGAGCCTTCAGCCGATTTACATCGGTCGCCTAGAGATTGTAGGGTACATTTTATGTAGTTTAGTTTTTGAATAATGAAGTCTGTGTACTACCTTGAATTGGATTAACTGGTCTCTAATATTGACAACAGGATTTTATGGAGCTGAGAATCTTCTCCCAGATTGTATCATCAATCTGTTCACTCAAATCTCTTTCCCAGSCCTGCTTRATAAATTATGTATCAACAKTGGAATCAGAAAATAGTTGAACTAAATTAGTCATCAAAAGAGAAACAGCGTTTTAACACATCCTCTTATAAACACTGAAAAGTACTAAGTGTACGACTGACTAAATGTGAAATAAATATTACAGAAATACTATTAAAGATAAAAGATGCTTTGTTTTGGTAGTTTTACTCACTGTTGAGTTGTGGTGGGCAACTGTCTTGAATTCTGAATGCTCCCATTTTCCTAATGGGAATTCCCACTAGAGGGGTGTTCCAGTTTAAATTTACAGCACAGTACAATTGGACAGCAGTAAAAGTAGCCAGCTACTATCGAACCCTGTGTACCTCCACAGATGGGATGCTATTATTTTGTGGGTAAAATCATCAACATGCATTATGGGAGATGTAGTTCATGGTCAATGCTGGCTTTAAAGCAGCATGAACTTAATTGAGGACATTAATACATCTTTGAAGCACTCGTGGGCCACATATCATGCTGTGGCAGGCCACATTTGGCCCTCAGTCCTTGAGTTTGACACATGGTTTAAATCAATGTCTAACATGTCATTATGTGTTCAGCCATTRGAGGATGTTTTCCCATCCAACTACAATATTCTCTTTCAAAAACCACAGTGTTTGATTATATCAAGGCAATGATAAAGAAGGTAAAATGTTCTGCAGCTAAAGAAGGTTGGGAATAATGTGCCAAATCATTTGGCTGGATAAAAAGCAAACTTGTAGCATCATTTTTTTTTTCTTTAATCAACTACAGAATAACACTTTCAGTCAAACTCATGAATTATACTTAGTTTTTTTATTTGTTTTATTTTATTTTTTCAAAATTCAGTTTTTGTGACAGYGTGAGAATTTGTCCTCAGAAATTCACACAGAAACACCTTTACAGGCAGTGACACTGACAGATATGATGGGTAGAGACTGTGGAATGGAAAGGTRCAGAACATTGTTCAATCTGAATATTTACATCTAGTGAGACAAGTTGGACAATCGAGATGCTTCTCCTTTCCAGGAATTCATCTCCCAAATTTAACTGTGATGTCTAGACTCATGTATTCACAGTTAAGTGTCATATTTCTCACTGTACTAAAAACATAAATCCTGTACGACATATATGAACTAAACAGAACTACTAAGATAATACAGTAAAGGGTTTGCATTTTATGGAAGATGTTTGCTGATCTTTWGTGCTTAAAGTTCTGAAAAGACAGCAGCTGGTTTTACTATCTGAAAAACAGTTTTATGATGAAGCACATTTTATAAAGTTTACAGTAACTTTCATTTCAYACTTATTTACATGACTTTTCATTTTTACTACAAACCCCTCTTCTTTTGGCTGTTTGTTTTTTAAAGGACCTAAAACCAAAAGGTGATCATGAGGATTTAAGTACTTGTGGTTTTGCTTGTTTTCAACTGTAATCTTGCAATCGTGTTCTTTCACATCCACTATCGCCTGCAGCGTTTCTACTCATTTTTCTGAAACCTGCTCTTCATTAACAGTGCAGGTTACAATAAGTCATCTGACTCACTTTCAACCAACATGTGATTGTGAAAACTTTGAAGAACAGAAAACAGCTGCTAAAAAAGGGAAGTAGAACTAAATTCAGCGTTAGTCGTGTTACATCTGTGCTACAATCAAGTTTAAAGTTTAGTTGGAAACATGCTTAATGTTTGATCCCAGACCCAGTTACATTATAAACAGAAATTCAGTTTCTGCCATTTGTTTCGGAGTCGGGTCRAGGGGGCAGCAGCACGAGCACAAATGTCCAGACCTCTTTTTCCACACCCATGTCTTCTAAGAGGACTTAAGGTGTTCCCAGACCAGCTGAGAGACCTAGTCTCTCCTCATGTCCTGGGTCTTCCCTGGGGTCTCCTCCCAGTTGGACATGCCTGGAACACCTCCCTAGGAAGGCATGGTGGGATCATCCTTGCCAGAGGCCTGAATCACCTCAACTGACTCCTCTAGATGTGGAGGAGCAGCGGCTCTGCTCTGAGTCTCTCCTGGATAGCTTAACGTCTCACTCTAAAACAGAATCCAGTCACCCTTCAGAGAAAACGTATCTTTATTACCTGCATTTGCAGTCTCATTCTTTCGGATTTCACCCAAAGATTGTGATCATAGGTTAGGATAGAAACGCAGATCAATTGATGAAAAGAGAGCTTCACCTTCCAGATTAGCTCCCTCTTCACCACAACAGACCAGTACAGAGTCCAAAATACTGCCTAAGCAGGACTGATCCATCTATCAACATCTCACGTTCCATTCTTCCCTCACTCATGAACTCACCACCAACGCAGAGAGAGCAATCCACCCTTTTCCGACTGACAACCATGGCCTCAGATTTGGAGGTTCTGATCCTCACCCCAACTGTTTCACAGGCTGGAAATCGCTACAGTGAGAGCTGGAGATGACGGCACAAAGACGCCAACAGGACCACATCATCTGCAAATAGTTGGGAGCAATCAACCTTGGTAGGGTCTCCCAAGGCAGATTGGTCCTGTAAGTGACAGGCCACACGAAGAATGATTTGTAGTGCTTGTATGGACAGAAGACAGCAAACGCTTTAAAGTCCCCACCCAGGAGCCAGGCCTGGGGGAGGAGCTTGTCTGCGAGCACCTGGTGACTGGATCTTTACCCAGGAGGCCAAGTTAGGCTCAGCCTGAATGAGCTACATAGTTTTGCTTTCCTGATGGCCCACCCACTGCAGGAGGGGCCATGCTAGTCGCCACAGCTGAAGGTGGGGAGCTTGATGCTCTAACCCTAGCTTACCAAAGCTGATTGTTGAAATATTATGTTGTTGTTTTTTTATTTACAAATATTGCAATGTGAGTATAAGGGAAATTCTGAACCGAAACTTGTTCTCTCTTCTGCTAAATTCACATTTGTAATTAAAACTATCATCCYTTGAAATAATGCACATCACCCACTGCCTTGCATGCAAAAGTTTCAAACAAAGATCTTGCACAATCTGTTAGGTCTCAAAGGGTTCTCATCTACAAACACACCTGATTCTGACTCAATATGTGTAAAAGACACAGTTACGGAGATATTGTGGTRGCTAAAGTCGATTAGCTGGTTTATGAGCAAACAGAAAATTATAGGAGGGGGGCCATTACCCTACTTGGACCAGCCCTTGGTAGCACCCCTGGTCCAAAATAGAGCCAGTTTAAACAGAACAGTTCATCCCTAATGACTATTTAATTTTACCCCCTCAGTAACTTTGAGCACTTTACTGTGCAGAATTAAAAAACATCTCAGAGAACATGTTTGCACAGAGCAAAGAAAGGAATGAGTCCCAGAGCAGATATGTGACCCTGAGTGTCTGAGTGCTCAGGTCCTATGAGCTGATGATCTGTCCAGACCAGGTCTCATGTTTTGTCCCAGGCTTCAGATGTATGATCTTCACCTCCACAGCCTGTACCTTAATGTTCTTAGGCGGGACCCGGCACACTTTGTACGTGACCTCGTCTCCCTCAGCCGGGACGTACTCCCCATCGATGCTGAAATGCAGAAACGTGAGAGAAAAAAAGTCTGTGTTGTTACTTTTACTAGTTTGTCTGTTAACATTTCTCACAAACCACCAGATGGATTATAATCAAACTATCAAAAAATAATCATTAGATGTTTGTTTACAGCTGATGAACATTTGGAACAACTCAGTGCCATTATTTGCAGATTTTTGCTAATGTTACCACCTGGCCGAAACAAAAAGCTAGACTAAAAGCAGCACAGCTGTGCAGCCTTTTTGTGTTGCTCTGCATATTTTTATCCAATGCAGCACAATTTATTTTTATTTTTAGTTGTTTTTGCCGTCACCACCACTCACTCTGAGATGTGAACAAAGATGTCCTCGCCACCGTGGGAAGGCTGGATGAAACCATGGCCTTGTGATCTGGAGAAGTTCTTACACACGCCTTTAAAAACCGGACCTGAGTGAGCGCGAACCGTTCTGAAGAGAAAAGAAAAGACAACCAATTAATCATCTATACAACTGATTTAGAACTCTTACATGGAGATAGGTGAAATACGTAACATGTAGCTAGATATTTTCGGTGGGACTCAGGGAGAATAAATTAGGAAGCAGAAGCCCTGGAGTACATGAAGCAAGTACAATGATCCACTTTACAATGAACTGTATTTATTTAAATAACCTACTGTTCCTAATGATACGAGACCTGTTGACCTGTTGTTTTGCTTCTTTACATCCAACCAGAACACAAATCTGTTGCTTTTAGATCCAGATCCAGGCTCAAAAACAGAGGAGATGGATCCTTCTCTGTGTTGAACCTTAATACCTGGAACAACCGAAACATTAACTTCTACTTGAACTTCTACCCCAGAACTGTACTTTTATAAACTCTCCCCRTTTGACTGGAAAAGGTGGAGGTCTGGCTACAATTTTTAAATCCAGTTTTCACTGTCAACAGTCACACATAAAATCATTTCTCAGTTTTGAACTCCAAACTTTTKAACTGAAATTAACTGAACCAATTTTGTGTGTGGTGATCTATCGTCCACCAAAGTTCAACAAGGACTTTATTCATGAATTCTCTGAACTTTTGGCAGAGAATGCATTAGAACATGATCGTATTTTARTTATAGGTGATTTTAATATACACGTATGTTGCCCAGATAAACCTCTGGTGAAGGACTTTTTGGACTTGATTGACTCATTTGATTTTACACAATCTGTGGTTGGACCAACACATTCAAAGGGCCATACTCTGGATTTAGTGTTATCACA